CACACTGTCACCCACACACTCCAAAACACACACACTCACACAGTCACACACACACCAATACACACACTCACAGTCTCCCGCACACCGATACACACACACTCACACAGTCACACACACACACCAATACACACACCCCAGCACACACACACACCAACACACATACTCATGCAATCACACACACACCCATCCACACACACATACTGACCCAACCACACACCCTCACACACCCATACTCACTCCCTCGCCCATACCCTCCCTGGCGGTCTCGCGGTTAGGACTCTCTCTGGTGCTCTGACTGCTCGGGGTCGATCCCCGGTCAGGGAGGAGCGCGGCCAATTCTCCTGCTCTGTCCTGCAGCAAAATAGGGTTGTGGGGTTGTTCTCACATGCAGAGAGCAAACTACACAACCCACCCACCCGCCCCCAGGCACCTACACACACTGGCCCACTGCGGTGTTGCACTGCAGTCCAGCCACAAGCAGCCAGCCTGTGCTTCTATAAATCAGAGACAACAACGAGTCTCCCTTTGCTCTGCAGTTCCCTCCATCTCACGTTTTACAGCTTGCTGTCTGATTGTCTCAAGCTCGGGCTGAGCAATAGGACCACAAGGACACATCCCGCACTGAAGATGGCAAGCAAACAGGAATCTGCAAGCGTCCAGTAAGCTGATAAGATGATACTGCAATAAAAAACACATCCAGGCACTATTAAGAATCTGCGGTGCACAGATTGGACCCCGAGACCTACTTCTGAGGACAGATCTTCAATCTGGTTTTAAACACAGAAGCCATTTGACTGTTTCTAATGGGTTTGGGGGGTGAGATCCAAGAAGAGCACATTATGTGCTGAATCCAAACTTTTCATTGCCAAAGGAGGCACTCTTCCAGCCAGGACCAAGAAAGAGGCTGTTCTCCCAGACTGACACAGCTCCCACGGTCCCTAATGCATGGAATGAGGCAGCCATCTGCTGGAGCACATGGACACTGGCGATCGGGAGCTCCGGGGGCAGATCGGAGTCCGTCCCACGGGCTGTGTGACGTGGGACACGACCGGGTAGTTCTGTGAGTCAAGGGTTAAGGGGGACACAAACAAGGGGTCACAGACAAGGGGTCACAGACAAGGAGAAACAAACAGGGGTGCTGTAGGGTATAGAGCAGTAAGCGCTGTAGTTGTTAAGAGCAGTAGGGTATAATGACAAAGGAACCGTAGGGAATAAGGCTGTAGGTGCTCTAAAGAAAATACCAGAGACTGGGATGAGCCATAATGACATTACAAGAATTGCTATTTAGATAGATCATAGTGAGATTACAAGAACTGCTATTTAGATAGATCGATTAGATAGACAGATACTTTATTGATCCCGTGAGGGAAATTGCAGTGCAACAGCACAGTCAACACAGCACAGTGTAACGCAATGCTACAACGATACAACAACACAATACAATCAGTACAGTCAGTGAGAAGTGCAGTAAAAAACTGAATATACAGAACCACACACAGTACAGAAGATACAAAACAAACCAGGATGCACAGTACACAAAAAGATGTACTGCACATTATGAATATACTGCACAAATCGCCATCACATATTGCACATCAGTTGTGAACAGAAAAACCTGTTTTTTGTTTTACAATTCGTACAGAGAACCTGTTTTATTCTCATCTGACTCGATTACACTTATCTGCATGACTTAATTTAATGACGTCTGCCTTAATTTTATCTCCAAACACACTATAGATAGGATATAGACGGACCTGTAGCCTGCTCTCGTCAGGGAAGGTAGGGCCTGGTCAGACCTTGCACAGGACACATCCATGGAAATCCAGGCTGCTGTTGTAAGAGGTGCTGTCTGAGCAGTAGGTGGTGCTCTTCTAAATAAAAATATCTAAATCAGTGCCCTGCTATGGTAACCAGGGACACTGCGTGTGGATGACACCTTAACAGTTTTTGACCGGTCATAAAGACACATAGCACTATTCGGAAGAGTAGGGGTCTTTAGGCTAAGTTCTAGTCTGGGCTCGGACGACCTCCCTAACGTAGCCCCTTAATTCAGCAGGTGCAGCAGCTTCTCTGTCCTCCCCTGATCTGCTGTGCAGTGGGGCTGCTGAGTGTCACCCAGGAGGGGCTGGACTTCAGTGATGGATAAAGTGGGTTCCCTTCTATGCTCTTCTATAGGGTATATGGCTTGGGATCCTTTGGAATAGGCAGATCTCCCCTGGAAAAGGTTGCATCTCTCACAGGCTGTGAATAGAAAACCTGCACTGCTGGTCCTTGTTAAACAGCGGAAGCTGTCTCCCACGATCAATTCAGTTTCTGAAAGCGTGCATGACTCTGTTAAGAAATGCAAATGATAGGGTGAGAACAATTATTCAAGTGTTAATGTGTGAGCTTCAAAACTGAAAAGGAAAGGGTTGATAATTATTATTCCAGTGCATCTCTAAGGTGTTTCTGGAACGAGCTAAATACAAATTGTGCGTGCAGAAAATCTTTTTATCGCAAACGGTCTTTTGCAGACACCTTTGAATGCAGAAGCAGGTGTGTTAAAATACAGAGGTGTTTTTCAAAGCTATTTTTATAAAAGTATTTTTAACACAGTGCAAATTTTACCAAACAATGAAACACCTGTGAAAGAATATGGGCAAAAAAAGGAAAAAATAAATGAAGGAAATAAACTTGGGCACTCCTGGGTAGATAGTTCCAGACACCCACAACCTGTTGTGTAAAAAACGGTTTCAATAAAATCATAGGAAAAGATCAAATCGCCTGCTTGATTTAGTTATCTGGTGATGATGGGCAACTTCTTAAACAGGACGCCTGGGATGACATTTTGATCAATTCCAAATTGTCAGACATGGTCTAAAAGTGCTTATGGAACCAGCAGATGTTTTTTGATGTGGCGAACAATGTCACTCAAAGTTAACTTCATCTTGTTGTTGTGTTGTGATTGAAAATATAGTAGGACCCAGAACATCACTTCTCATCCCTCCACTATTGAACCGTTTTATCCAATACAGGCTCATGGGGGGGCTGGAGCCTATCCCAGCAAGCAATGGGTGCAAGGCAGGGTACACCCTGGACAGGACACCAGTCCTCACAGAGCACACACACACACATACACTCACAGCAGGGCCAGTTTTCCCAGAAGCCATTTAGCCTCCCCATATGCCTTTGGACTGTGGGAGAAACCCTCACGCAAACACTGGGAGAACCTACAAACTCCACACAGACAGCACCCCAGGACCCAGGACCTAGCGCAGCGAAGCAGTGCCGCCCACGCTTCACTTTCCAAATGTTTTTCTCTAAAACAAAGCACAGTGTTCACCATAAACAGGCCCCTGGCAGTCACCACCGCAAACAGGAAGTGTACATTTTCCAACAGGCCATCGTCACTGCAAAACTATTTCGGCCACCCCTGCGTAGCAATAACCATAAAATATCCTTTCCAATTCGTGTTGCAAATACACCCAAGAACACTATGCTGTAGTATCATGTGCAAAGCTAGTCAGACTGTTGTATACTGTACTGAGGTGAATGCGTTTTCCCACTAGAGGGAGCTGTTGCCTACGTTGTTAGTGGACATGTGCAAGACAGGACGCCTAGCAGAATGAAGGTACAGGGTACGTACATTAGAGGCAAAGACAGGTAGATGTTAAGACCATGCTTCCCAAACTTTTTCAGCTCACGTCACGGCACACTTTTAACTTCCCAAATCTTTGGAAAACACCAAATGATTTCAAACCAATCAGCACTAACACGCTAAGAAATAACATTGATTTCACAGGGGAACACTGAATACAATTTTAAAGACAAATATAGTACGATCATGTGGAGAAGAAGAATCTTCGGCTTTCGGCACACAGTTGCAGGGTGGGCTTGTTTCAAAGAACAGAGCTGTTTAATACTTGGTTATGTTTGGTAAAGAGCTACACAAAACACCTGGGCCACACCTTTTGAGTTCTGATTCCACAGCACACCTGAGACCTTTCCACAGAACACCAGTGGGCAGTGGTCCACACTTTGAGAAGCACTGTGTTCAGGTGCACATT